TGTCCTTTTGCAGCATTTAGAGTCACTTTCCTGCCGGGCTTTATGTCCTTGCTTTCTGTCTCTGTGTTTCTCTGATGATGTTTATCACAGGAAAATAAAGTGGTATTTAAAATGTGAAAGGTTAAAAACGTAAAATGCAGATGATGGAAAATTAAGAAATGTGACAGAAGAGATCAGGAAGTCACAAACAGAAGTCTTTTGTGTGTTAGACCATCCCATCATTCAAGGGTGGTTTTCACTATAAGTAATGGGTTTTCTTTAGGCGGAGGTAAGAATTTACCTTTTTTTTTATCTGAATTTACTCTGACTGAGAACAATCTATATTGATTCTGACACTTCTACATCCAACTCACAGATGTAACCTTTCTTTGATAAAATTAATTATTCATATAACCCTTTTAGAAGTGAAGTTATAGTCATTTGTTTTGGGCATGTCATTTTCAAGCCTGAAACCTGAAAAACAGGCATGGTGCTTAACAGGTTAACAGGATTCCCCTTATGGTAACCTGAAGTATTACTAACAAACATTAGGTCTGTTTTTATCATTTAAATATTTATTTGACACCTGCAAGGCATTTACAGCTAAAGCTCCAGAGGACCTTGCTGAAAGAAACACACTATCCCTCAGTGTTCCCGTTGTCTCCTAACAGATACTCAAACCGGTATGATTTAATAATTCTTCATCTTAAATTCTTTAACCTCTTAAGCACGGCGGTCCCCCCATTGGACCCCTCCCACCGTTTTTTTTTCGAGATAATGTCTCAGGGCTTCTTAACATTTATGAAACTATTAATGTGTAGCACCAGATTAACGGGAAGAATCTCAGCTAACTGAAGATATGAACCATTTTTACCAAAACAAAACACAAGTCTCATGAGAAGCGTCTAAATGACCCCTGAGCGAAAAAATTCTAACGCACTGCGGCACACAATTCAAGATAAAGATACCCTTATTACTTATCGTAGCTGCACATACAATATAGCCGATTAAAGCTGAGACTCCACTGATTATTTAGGTATAGTATCATCACTGAGCGATCCGAACTTGCGACAGGGGAAGCAAACACAGACATCACAACACGTACCTTTAAGGAGCTTTTACGGCAGATCGTCTCACCGTAGCTGTCAATTAGGTCAAAAGACGTGTTCAATGGCATTAAAACGAAAAAAAAAAATGCTACAACTGTTGATCCATAGGTTGATAATGTACCTGTGCCTTTGAAGAAATTATTTATAATCCATAATTCAAAATCGAGCAAGGGGGGGCCAGAGATAGGTCAAATCCACCCAAATGACCCCAGATGTGGGGGTTTTTGGCTAAACCTCTCTAAAAAGGTCAAATGTCACTTGTTTTGCATCAATCTTGATACAGGGTACTTATTATATGTTGTACTTTGGATTCCTAAAGCTTTTAGTCTACTACCCCATCATCCAAGGGTAGTTTTCACTATAAGTACAAAATAATTTTTGGACGGACACTATAATTTACAGTTTTTTACTATGTTCAATCTGAATTTTCTTTAAAGCTCCCATGTCATGCTTTTCCGGTTATTACCCGTCCCCTTGTGTGTTATGAAGGTTTTTATGCATGTAAACGGTGTGCAGAGTCAAAACCCTCAAAGTACACCCTGTAGCGAGTAAAACTCTAACACAGAAAATACCTCCCCAAAACGCCTCGTTGGAGATACGTCACTGCCCATTTGAGTCTTCCATTTAGTTCCGGGTACCGCCTGATGTCATGCGGTACCCGGAACGAAATGGACCAATCCCGAAGAGCTATGGCCACACCAGCAGCGGCGTGTTCCTCCTCCAGAGGTTCGAAGAACCGGCATTTCACAGACGAAAGCTTCCAAAACATTGCCCAGTTTGAGGCCGGATATGCACAGCTTGTTTGGACCGTTTGGAGCAGGGGAAGATCTGGGTATACAACCTGTAAGTTTGCATTGTTATTTGTGTATTTATCAAACAAGACTGTTTAAATGTGTAAACTGTGTTGGACTGCTAAGCCATTGACACAGTGCTAACTAAGTTGCTAGAGTTTCCATATATCAACTCTAATATCAGCAGATGGCCTTGCATACATGTATCTCATAGCAGGAGAATGTCTGCATTCACACACAAAATACCTATTGACAGTATACTGCGGGTGATTTGCCGGTCAGTCGCGAAACGTAATTACATTATAGCTGGCGTAGCGATCTAACACACGGAGCTTGAGCTAGTTTTGGTCAGAAAAACATTTTTGTGATGCTACGTTGCTAGCGTTTAAATATATCAACTACAATGTCAGCAGATGGCCTTACATGTTTGTCATGGCAGGAGAATGTCTGCAGTCACACACACGGAATACTCATACAGTATACTCCGGTTTACCGTACATTGTGACCGTACATATACTGCATGTAGCTAACGAGGCTAGCTGTATGCTAGCGCAAAACAATGTATTCATGCAAGTTACATTGTATGGTAGCAGAATACCCGTATACGATTGCAATTATAAACACGTTATTGCTAGCCTAATATGAACCACTAGCTTTTGTTCATAGTAGTTTTATTACACTGCATTATAGTTGCCTTTCCTCCAAGCTAACGTTCATATCGTGTTAGCTACCAAGGTAAACAAAGCTAGGTTAGCATATTAGCAGGCAAGCTGTTCATTACACAACTACTACTAACGAATCTAAAACAACTAAGTTTCTCTAATATTTTGTGATTTGCATTTGATTTCGTCCAGCCAGATCCTGGCGGACAATCCATGACGGGGAAGGGATTCTACTACTACTGAGGCCTCGTGCTAAAAGGCACCGCACCGCACCGGCTGTGCGCAGGCAAGAGGAGGAGGAATGGATGATATACCGTGTATATATGTATATTTATGTTCATTTTGTACATTTCTAAAAATAAAGTTTAATGGAAATACTTAGTAGGCCTATCCTTTCTTCCCTGAATTCATATATAGCAAACCATGATTTGATTTCTCATCAAACAGTAGTAGTTTATAACGGGTAAAAATAACTTACTCTTTGTTATGAGAGTAGCTCGTAGGCCACAACGGAAAGACAAGGAGACATACACGAGTTTACAAAACCACGGCACATTTATTGTGGTAAATGCAAAGATAGGTGGTTGAGAGGATCGCAGAGTTAGTCTTCCTGCAGCCGCTTTGGAGAGAGACTGGGGCCGTAGTGTCCGGAGGTGTCCGTGATCGCGCTGATTACCCTCTTCAGCTCCACCCCATCGTAAGACAAAGGCCCTGGGGCCGTCACACTCTTCTATAACAACAGTTAAAAATATATATGTATATAAAATATACCGCTGTACCGACGCCATGATAAGACTGATGTTACGCTGAGAGCAGCCGGGAAAAGCACTGACATGGGCGCAGCCTCTCTGGTGGTTGACTAATCAGAACGAGTGGCCGAGCTGACCAATCGGAGCACACTAGGCTCACAGGGAGGGGGGGGCAAGAGCTCCAACGAGTCGTTTAGTGGAGAAAGTGAATACTGCTGAATACACATGCTTGACAGAGATGCTGTATGCGAAACCAATGTGAGTTTGGAAAATTGCACAGTATAAATCTATTTTAGTATACCTCAACAATGTAATTATGATCAGTGGAAATGGCCATGACATGGGCCCTTTAAAATAAAAAACATCTATATTGATTCTGACTTTTCTACATCCAACTCATAGGTTTATCATTACTTTGAGAATAAAGATTATTAATTTAACCCTTTTAGAAGGGAAGATATGGTCATTTGTTCTGGGAATGTCATTTTCTAGCCTGAGACCTGAAAAACAGGCTCAGGGCTTAACAGGTTAAGACCATCTATAATTCTCTCTATTCCCCCACCCAAGCCTTAACATAACCATAAAACATTAACATATTATATAACATAATCTTCATCATACAGGAGTCAGTCAGATCAGTGAAAAGTGCAAAGAGACTGTTATTAATTGTTCTGAGTTGTAAAGCAATATAACTGACCTAAATTAAATGTAGAAAAGCATGTCCATACGTTTCTAAATAGTCAAATACCTTTTAACTAAACAAAAACAAAATGTCACTGCCTGTTTAGTGGACATAGTGCTTCATAAAAATGATGTATAACTATCAGTAAGCATCATTTATAAATATTATAATTCACATAAAGATGTCTTTTGACTGGCTGATTGTATGAACCTGAGTCTTGTAGAGACAATGTGAAAAACGATACGCTATAACAAACATTAGCTCATTCAGTAGCAGCAATCATCTTACCTGTCATCAGTGAGAGGATGAGGAGGAGAAAGCTCTTCATTTGGTTGGTTTTAGACGCTGACTTCTTCCCTAAGATCAGTCGTCTGGTATATCAAGTGTTTGGGCAGTGATTTTGAGGTCAGCAGTGTGTGTACAGTGTGTGCTGTAAGTAAATAACTCTTTAAGACCACCTGTTGATAAAGGTGACGCTAACAGCTCTACCAACGGCTAACGTTCAAAGTCGTCATGATGTCTGGAACTGCATGATACTTATGTTTCCGAGTAATTTATCTATGAGAGGTTTTATTTTTACAACATTACACCCTCAGCTCGACTTAGAAAGCTATACAAAAAAACCCGGATGTGAACCACAGGCCCATATAAGACTCAACCCAAAGCACAAGACCATATGAATCTGCTGCTGATGGAGGAATGAAATCAGGTTCTCATGATATATCAGCATTACAACTAAAATGTTACTAATAGATTCATCTGCAGCTTAACTACTTACATCTCTATTGCCTGTTGAATATTTCAATGTTGGTGTAGTAATTAATCTCATTGTTTTTCCCAGTAGTGTAAAGCAAACATCATTTACTAAAATAAATCATGCTGGAATGACAAAACTGAATAAAATGTACTTTGTATAAAGCCAAACAAAGCGTTATAAATACAGTACGTTTACCTTAAACTGCCCAATGTTTTTCCTTTTGGCTTGGTATTTAATATAGTCTGCAGAGATTTGAACACAAAGACATCTTTATTATCATTATTTCAAATCTGGACAAAAGAACGACCAAAAGAGAACTTATACCTCTTTAACCATTTCAATGTAATGCAAACCTGTGTGCTCAGTATATGAGTGCCCTCGTTTTTGTGTAGCTTAAGCTTTTTAATGCATCTGAAGTAAAACAGCAAACCACATTACAAAGTTACCGAAATTGCAAGCAGCCAGTCCCTGTATGTCAGCTTGTGGTTGCATCAGTTGTGTGGGTTCAGTCCAAACAGGGGAAGTTCAGTTGACGCTGTCCCACTTAACATGAGTGTCCGGTGGTAGAGGAAATGACTCGAATCGGGTTTGCAGTTAGAGGGGCCTGTTGGAAAGATATCAGAGATGTAAATCAAGTGATGATAAAAGTGAATGTAACATAAATTATATTATATACTGTATATATAATATTAGACAATCATACAGGGACCTGTTCGCTTTGTCTTCATACTCATACAAGGTGCCCATCCTGTCAGAAACCAACATGAATGATGCATTATGCAGGGTTATTCTAACATAATTAAAGCCAGTTTGAGGGATAGAGTTCAATTGAACTTTCCTTGATAATGTAGGAACTACATTACTTTGTATTACTGTCCCTGCTGCTGTTTGCCTCAGAACACAAGTCGATTTTTGGAAATGAAAATACGGTCTGACTGTGTTCTGTTCATTAGTTATGCCTCTGCTGCCTATTTGAGTGACAAACTAACGTTACTGGCAGCTGTGTTTAAAAAAATGTATTACACAAAGATTAGAGGTTGGTATTTTAATGTCTCATGCTTGAACCTGCATTTTGAAGAGAAAAAGCAGCTGAAATGTGTTTTTCGAGTCTGTTTGTGTGACTGTAGTTTGATCATTTAAAGAAAAACACAGTAAATAAACTTCTTACCCGTGTAGGCCAAATATACTGCGAGTGTAAGCAGCATCACATCCAAAGAGAGAGCCAAAGCGATCTCCAACACAGAGGCCCGATCTGCACGACAACACCACAATTACATCTTAATTGAACACAATGATCATCGAGAGCATTTAGACCTTCATATATGTTTGTTAATGGATTTGACCTTCAAGCAAATGTAGTTCTTAAGCGTTAAAATACCACCATGCTTTCTTACCAAAACCGTGATAAGAAACTGTAGCTGGCTGTATGGGGGACGATGCTGGTGAGGTTGGAGAGGGAACCAGTGACACTGAAAATAAACAGAACTGCAATTAAGCAATTAATCAAATTGGACTTAAAAGGTTTTAAATGTTTTGTTGAAAAGGTAGTGACTTTAGGATGTTTGTGAGTGTCGTGTAACAAACATCTTTGTCTTACAACAGACACATTCTGCAAAGAGAAAAAAGTAGGGACAGTGTCCAAGCTTTAAGAATCAGTTTTATGCAGATCCAAAATAGAACCCAAGACTAGTTTTTTAGTGAGTGAGGGCCATTGAAGGGACAAATGCAATGCTGTTCTTTGCACTCTGAAAAAGTGCTTGAAAAGTACATTTTGAAAATGTATCTCGGATTGATGTAGGAAAAGCGAAAAGTAAAAAACTATTGCACAGGAATTTTTGTATTGAGCTTCAGCTTCAAGTTCTTGAATGTAAAGGCTCGCATTCCAGATTCAAGGGATCAAGAAAAACTAAGATGAAATAATAGATCTTTGAAAGGGCATTATTCAAGATAAAAATATGTTTCATTTTAAACCAAAAAGACACACTGACAGCAGCATTTTAAAAACTCACCAACAGTCATCAGAAACCTGTGGTAGAAGTATTGGCCTTGTAGAGAGTGGATGTGTTCTGCTCCACACCAGTATGTCCCGCTGTCTTCCTTTGTCACGCCTCTCACTGTCATGGTGATGTTTCTCTTCTCTGTCTCATCAATCATGGAAAACCTCTCAGTGTTCTGGGCAGCGCTGACTACATGTTCACATATAGATGGATCTTCTCCCTTACAGATGAACTTCTTTACTGGAGCACCCTCTGGATATTGACACCAGTATGTCATATTCTGTCCAATAGTTGGAGACCTATTGAAGTTTTTGATAGCAGCTGGAAACAGACAGACAGACAGATTTGTAAAAAATGCAAAATGTTGTAATGTGCTTCACTGGTACAAACAAAATACCAAGAATAAACCATGAAATAAAATGTGAGTATTTGATTTCTGAAGTTATAGGAAATATCTGTTTCGTACAATCTATAGCTTTATATGTGCCTGTAAAAACATAGTCTGTAACATTTGATTTATTACATGTGCAATGTTTCCTTAGGGAAAACGTTTGACCATGTTTTGATATTTTGTTAATTAGTTAGGGTTACTCACCAAATAACCAGCCTAGTTTCACTTTTGCAGGGGAAGATTCCTTTTTTCCGTATAGTTCACACATATATCTCCCAAAGTCCTCATGTGGAAGTTGGTTGATGATTACTTTGAATTTTTTATTTTCTGTATCATGGTACAGGTGAAATCTGCTTTTGTTTTCATACATCCTTCCTAATGCTTCCTATGATTGTTTCTTCTGCCTCTAATAAATCAATTCTTTCATAATTTCCATTTGCTTCAGGGTATTTAAAGATGAATTCAACCCATCCTTCTCTGCATCCCGTCAACACATCACTGGCCTCACATCCTGTGAAGATCAGACAAACAGTCACATCATGTCGGAGACAAAACAATCCCAGAATAATGACCTCTTAATCAGCACAACCTACACTTACCAGTCGATCACAAAGATAAATCAGTTAATAGCTAGCAGACTTCCTGTCGGATATTTTTCGCCTGAGTTTCCAAACGTTGGGATGGAAATACAACAAAATATAAAAAGAACAATATAAAACCATTGGAGTATAAATTGTAAAGATCTATTTACCTTATCTATCAAATTTATATCTGCTTGTCTAGTCATTTGTTCTTTGTCCGACTCGTTAAGCCTAATATATAAGTGAACATTTGGGAATTTCTTAGTGCAGACACTGTAATTAACTGTAAAGCAGTCTAAATGCTCTATATTTATTTTATAAATGCATATTTTTTATTATCAAATTAATTAACTAAGCAAAACAAAATGTATTACTGCACATGTAAAAATATCCAAATAAAGAACATTTTCTTTTGACCCAGTTTGTTGATTGTCTATGAACCTGAGTCTTGTAGGAACAATGTTAGAAACAGTACATTCTTTTAGAGACAGAGCTATAACAAACATTAGCTCATTCAGTAGCAGCAATCATCTTACCTGTGATCAGTGAGAGGATGAGGAGGAGAAAGCTCTTCATTTGGTTGGATTTGGACACTAAAGACTTCCCTGAGATCAGTCGTCTGGTGTTGGTTGGTCTCCAGTATCTGATTCTGCTCAGCAGTATTTCCTGAATGTATATCTAACAACTCCTCGCCCCCTTACTCTTCTATCCTTCCCCCTTTTACCTCCTTTGAAGTCTTAGTTATGTCTCCTCCCCTTTATACGTACATATACACAGTTCATAGCCCAGTAAATTGAAACTGCCAATAAAAAGTGAAAAACAATTCTTAGAAAGTCCCTCACTTTGACCTTATATGTAAACTGTGTGGGCAGTGAGTTTGACTCAGCAGTAATGTAGCCCTGCAGTGTGTGTGTGTGTGTGTGTGTGTGTGTGTGTGTGTGTGTGTGTGTGTGTGTGTGTGTGTGTGTGTGTGTGTGTGTGTGTGTGTGTGTGTGTGTGTGTGTGTGTGTGTGTGTACAGTGTGTGTACAGTGTGTGCTGTGAGTAAATGCTACTACTCTTTAAGACCACCTGCTGATAAAGGTCACGGCACTCTGGTTAGCACAGAAGCTAACAGCTCCACCAACGGCTAATGTACAAATTCATCATGGCTTTCACTGCATGATACTTATGTTTCCTAGAAATGTATCTATGAGTTTCAAGTTCAAGGCTTTATTGTCATTTGCACACTAGCTACAGTGTAGATATTGTTAAGGAATAATTCTTCTAGATATCTAACCTTTTGCTCTGTGACGTTTTATGATCTACTCTGACGTCTGTTATCTCCTTTAAGGAAAGGCATTGGTGCCATATGTGTTGTTGTCCCCAGTGTGTGACCGGTCAACTTGTCTGGCACGAAGGGTAATTGTTGTGAGAACGCTGAGGCACTTCTTTATCGGTGTTTGTGGACTCTAAGATGTGAAATCTTTGAGGCCATGAGTGTCGGACGCAGGTGGCTCAGTGTTCCCAGCTGTTTAGTCTACTCCTTCAGAGATGTTGATTTCTCTCTGTGAACCTGTTCAAAGGTCTAGCATACACTCAAAGAAACAACTTGTAGGATTTACTTGATTAAATCTTAGCAAGTATTTGCACTTACTTTTTCTAAGTATATTTTACTGCTGTAATATCAAGTAGAACTTACTTTCCAGTATCAAGTAAAATGTACTTATCACCAGACGTAACATTTGTGAAAATATTAAGTAAATCTTACTTAATAATGTTTAAGTTACACGTTATATTTATTTGAACTAATTAAGTAAAGTCTAATTATTTTCTTCATGGACAGGAACATCACTGTTATCAAATTATTAAGTAAATATTATATATCTGTAATAGTTACTGTTATGAAGTAAATAAGTAGATTTTATCATATTTTTTCTGTTTAAAATGTTGAATTACTCATTTGTTTGAAGTTATATTACTCACTTTAATTACGTAATTGTTACTCATTTACTTTTGAAAAATGTTACCTAATAAATGTAATAATCTATGCATTTAATATACATTGAGCACAAATCACACAACTAAAATACAATTCAACTTTATTTTGTCAACAATTCAATCACTATTAACCGACAACATTAACATTATAATAACTGCATGCAACATTAACATTATCTTATCAAAAAATACAAAATCTACTCCATCATAGATTTGGAGTGGTGCTTTTTAAACATTCAATACAAACGTTTCTTTACCTAAGGAGGGGGAAAAAACATATAACAGAATATGAATAGACGGCAACAACTGTAATCCGTGTGAGAGAGAGAAAGAGGGAGAAATGTTTATACGGAGAAAGAAAAAAATGGCAGAGGGGGGAGACAGAGATTGATACAGCTCCCTGAAACTGAGCAATTGCAACATGGACAGTGGAAGGTACATATGAAGAACACATTTTCCATGTCTTTAAGGCAGCAGGTTCACCTTCAAAGCTTGTACTTGTTAGGATTATGTTTTAAACAGGACCCAGGCGCAGGCAATGACTGAAGATGTTTAAATGGTTTATTGTTTGGAGACTCAGGCAGGTTTGGAGACTATGGAGGTCCGGAGTGGAGGTAGGCAGTTCAGGCTGGACTGAGAACAGGGCAGGCAGGTATGGTGAAGGAAGAAGCAGGCAGGTTGGCTGGAAGCTCTGGTGGCCGATGGCTGAGGGCTGAGGGATCGCACTGGAAGCACAAGGAGAAACTAATTACAAAAAAGTACAGAATAACACGCAGACAGGATAACTGAATTGAGCAGCCAGGAGGATGCAATACCACTGGTGTAGAAAACAATCTGGCGGTGAGTTGCTGGGAGACTGGAGTAGATATGCTGTGTCTTGATTGGATTGATGAGGGACAGCTAAGCCGGTCGGCCAGGTGAGTGCAATCAGGCTGCTGCCTGCAAGGGAAACCACACCCCCTCCACACACACAGGGGAACAAACAGGGACACACAGGGACACAGTTTGGGCCGTGACAGTACTTTTGGGGTCAGCTTAATCCCATCCAGTCCGAGAAAAAGTTACATACAAGACATGAAAATGAAAGAATTTGCCCTAATTGCTCAGTTTGTGTACGGTATCTAGACAAATGTGTGTGAAGAGCACTCCAACTTTTAAATGAACAAGGACAATCTGAGTACAAGCATGGTATTGACCGGCCTTGCCCGCTGTGTAGATGATTCAATCTATAATGCTTTATGAGCTGTAAACGTTTTGATGTCGTGAAGTTGCAATGTTTGCATGACCATCTCATAATATAAAGAGTCCTACATGTTCTCCCTGGTGAGACCAGCTTGGAAATCTGTCAACTGTCTTCCTCCCTAGACCTCAACTGGCTCCAGCCGCTCCACTTAAAAGTAAGGCCACTCTGTAAATGAACAGACATCATTTGTAATATTAAAACAATGGTTTAAACATTTATCCACAATTTTATATTACATTTCGCAGTGAAGAATAACAGTAATAATATATCCCTCTACTTGCCTGAGCAATCACTCCAATTAGACTCCACTGGCTCACTGCTGTACTGCTATGCTTCCTGTTGATAGACAGATATGTAAATAAGACAGATGAACTTCGTGAATATAACATTTCCACTTAATTAGACTTGATTGAATATTTGAAGAAAAAAAATTAAACAATTGGTGGAAACAGTATGTGGATATTTTACTAAAGTAAAAGTAGCAATACCACAGTGTATATTTATAACAGAGTATTTACTCTGTTACAAGTAAAAGTCATGCATTCACAACCTTACTTAAGTAAAAATTCAAAAGTATTAGTATCAAAATAAACTTCAAGTAAAAAGTACTCATTATGCAGAATGGCTCATTTGACAATAATATGTATTATATCACTGGATTATAATTAGTGATGCACTAACTCACAGGTCTCAAACTGCAGAAAAAATACTTTAACTTACTGTACAAAAAACATGTTACTTAAGAAATTCTAGTTCTTTGTGAATCTTGATATTACCATGTAAAAAGTACGACAGTTAATTAAATATATTTTACTACACCAAAAAGTCAGTTTTTTGAGTGTAGAGAGAGGCTCTTCAGAATTGACGTGGCAACTCTACCGTGTGGTCAGAACCTCTGACTCTTTGATTTGTGATGTGAATCCTCCGGCCGAATACTCTGAATAAACCCATCAGTGTTTGACATCAAAGCTCCAACTCTCACCGTGTCTCCTTCCTGAGTCGGTGACTCCATGCATTACTACACAGAAGTTTCCTCCACAGATATGGCAATGAAAAACTGAAGTCACAGGCTCCTCCAACAGTGCAACATATATATATATATATATAGGACATAGAACAAATAAAACAGATAAAATAGGGCAAGAGAATGTTTTGAGATGTGCAAGTAAATACAAATAAAATAGAAATAGTGCAAGAAGTATGAGAGGTTTTATTTTTCAACATTACACCCTCATCTTGACCTAGAAAGCTATACAAAAAAAGACCGGATGTGAAACGGGCCCATATAAGACTCAACCCAAAGCACAAGACCACATGAATCTGCTGCTGGTGGAAGAATGAAATCAGGTTCTCATGATATATCAGCTTTAAAACAAAAACATCTGCAACTTAACTACTTATAACTCTATTGCCTGTTGATAATGTGATGTTAGTAGTGTAAAGGCCTTGTTTTTATAATGTACAGGACCTGTGATCAGTTATTTGAGCCGGTAATGTAGTTCATGGCAATGTAAGATGATTTGGATACAAGTGTTGGCTAAATAAAATGTAATGTAATCTAAGAAAAAAACAATTATCATTTGGATTTTAACTATTACAGTTCTGCTTATTCTTATATTATATTAGGATCCCCATCAGCTTTAGCATGAACATAGGCTATTCTTCCTGGGGTCTGCACACACACCATTGT